GGGGCGCAGGAGATGCACGGGCTGGCTAGCTAGCTAGCCAACGAGGTGGCTCAGCTGGCTAGCTAGCTAGCTAAATAGCTAGCTAGCTAGCTAACTAGCTAGCTAGCTGGCTAGCTGGCTAGCTAACTAGCTAGCCAGTAGCTGTCCGCTTCTCGAGTTCCTCAGCCCATGCAGCTCACCTAGCCACCCACCACCAGCTAGCCACCCACCCAGCTAGCCACCCAGCTAGCTGGCTAGCTAGCCAGCTAGCCAGCTAGCTAGCCAGCTAGCTAGCCAAAGGAGGAAGTGCACTGTGCGCAGGCTGATTGGAGCCACGACTCTGAGCGAGTACAAACTCTACTTGGAAAAAGATGCGGCTTTTTGCCGCCGCTTCCAAAAGATCCTCGTCGAGGCCCCCAGCAAAGAAAGAACCTTAAGTGCGCTGCTGCTACTGCTGCTGCTGCTGCTGCTGCTGCTGCTATTATTACTATTGTTCTTGCTGCTGCTGCTGCTGCTGCTGCTCTCTGCTACTGCTGCTGCTGCTGCTGCTCTCTGCTGCTGCTGCTGCTGCTGCTGCTGCTGGTCCCTGCGCTCTCCCGTCGTGCTTCCGCGCGCAACCGCCTCCCGCTGCGCTGCTGCTGCTGCTGCTGCTGCTGCAGGCATCCTGCGGAAGGTGAAGGGGAACTACGAGGCGCACCACTCGCTGCAGATTCCGGATTTGCTGCTGTCGCAAATAGTGCAGCTGAGCGACCAGCTGCTGAAGCGCCGGGCCTTTCCTGATAAGGCTCTGGACCTGCTGGACGAGGCCTGCGCCTTTCGCCGCGTCCGCCACAACAGCAGACGCGCCGAACTCGCGCTGCTGCTGCAGCAGCAGCGCGACGGAAAAACACACTTCGTCAGCCTCCTGCTCCTGCTGCTGCTGCTGCTGCTGCTGCTGAGGGGGAGGGGGCTGCGGCTGCGGTTCTTTTGAGGGGTGCAGAGGAGGTGCGGGTGCGGGGGGGATGCTGCTGCTGCTGTTGCTGCTGCTGCTGCTGCTATTGTTGTTGTTGTTGGTTTATTTGGTTTCGTTTGAAGTTTGCATTTGGGATTTTCTTCGCAGGCCGAAGAAGAGCTGGCGGCGCTGCAGGCGGAGTATGCAGAAATGACAGAGCCAACTGAAGAGGTACTTCTTCAACACTTTTCAATCTTTTTATTTCTTTTTTTTATTTTTTAATTTGTTTAAACTTCTCACACTTTCTTAATGTGCTGCTTTCGCTTGGAGGGCCCCATGGGGCCCCCGAAAAGCTGCTTCTTTCGAGCTGCCAGTGGTCGCTGCAGCGCAGCAGCGCAGCAGCAACAACACAGCAGCAACAACACAGCAGCAGCAACACAGCAGCAACAACAACGCTGTAACAGCAACACAGCAGCACAGCACCAACAACACAGCAGCACCAACAACAACACAGCAGCACCAACAACACAGCAAAAACACAACAACAACAGCCGCAGCAGCAGCAGCAGCAGCAGCAGCAGCAGGAGGTTGCGTGTTTGCTGCAGCGGCCGGACCCGGAAGTGCTGGAGCTGCAGATGGACGACGTGGCGCATGTGTTGAGCTTGTGGACTGGCATTCCAGTGGGGCGAATGACAGAAGATGAGGCGACGCGGGTACTGAAGTTGGCGGATTTGCTCAGCAAAGTGAGCTTTTTCCGCGGGATTTTCGCGGCATTTTCGAGGAAGTGTAGAGGATTTGGAAAGTAGAAAGTCTCCGGCTTTTAAATGTTGCTTCTGCGCTTTTAAAACTCGAAAAGTGAACCCAAAACGAAAAAAAATGAACGAAAACGAAGCGCAAACACGCACTGACTCCGGCTGTACAGACACCGCAGACCCTCCCGAACTGTACAGACACCTCAGACGGGCCGTCGAGTTTTCGGGTGTACAGACACCTCAGATGGGAAGCTCTGAAGTTGTGGGGTGTACAGACACCTCTAATGTGTTCGGAAGTTCTGAAGTTGTGGGGTGTACAGACACGTCAGTATGCTGTCAAGTTCTGAAGTTGTGGGGTGTACAGACACCTGAGGGTGTCTGGTTACAATTTGAGCTCCCCCGAATGTCTTGAGTGTTTTGATGTCCTAACTTTCGCTGCCGCTGCTGCTGCTGCTGCTGCTGCTGCTGCAGCGGGTGATAGGGCAAGACGAGGCGGTGCAGGCGGTGGCGAACGCAATTCGAAACCACCGAGCTGGACTTTCCGAAGACAAAAAGCCCATCGGCGCTTTCCTCTTCCTCGGCTCTTCAGGTGCTCCTGCTGCTGCTACTGCTGCTGCTGCTGCTGCTGCTGCTGCTGCTACTACTACTACTGCTGCTGCTGCTGCTGCTGCTGCTGCTGCTGCTGCTGCTGCTGCTGCTACTGCTACTACTGCTGCTGCTGCTGCTGCTGCTGCTGCTGCTGCTGCTGCTGCTGCTACTGCTACTGCTGCTGCTGCTGCTGCTGCTGCTGCTGCTGCTGCTCCCCGCTGCTGGTGCCGTTTTTCGCCGTTTTTGCTGCACCAGCTGCATCGTTGTGTGCGGCGGACTGCGGCGCTGCAGGGGTGGGCAAGACGGAGCTGGCGAAGGCGTTGGCGGAGGAAATATTTCACTCCGAAAAGAACTTAATCAGACTGGACATGGTGGAATATCAAGAAGCCCACAGCATTTCGCGGCTGATCGGCCCGCCGCCGGGCTACATGGGCAACGACGAGGGCGGGCAGCTCACGGAGGCCGTGCGCCAAAAGCCCCACAGCGTGGTGTTGTTCGACGAAGTCGAAAACGCGCACAAGAACTTGTGGTCTTTGCTGCTGCCGGTGGGGCAACCGCGCTCTTTGCTGCTTGCTGCTGCTGCTAGCTGCGCGCGGCAGCCTGTTTGCTGCAGGGCCCACCAAGCCGCAGCTCCGGGGGACACGGTTAACCCGAGAAACCCCTGCTGCAGCTGCTGCTGCTGTGCTGCTGCTGCTGTGCTGCTGCTGCTGCGCTGCTGCTGCTGCGGTGGTGCGCGGGGAGCGCCGAGCCACAGGAACGGGAGACGGGAACCACAAGGCTGCTGCTGCACCCTTGCTGCTGCTGCTGCTGCTGCCGTTTCGCCCGTGCTGCTGCTGCTGCTGCCGTTTCGCCCGTGCTGCTGCTGCTGCAGCCGTTTGACGCCCGCTGCTGCTGCTGCTGCTGCAGATGCTGGACGAGGGGCACCTGACGGACACGAAGAGCGTGCGGGTGGACTTCACGAACACAATAATAATAATGACTTCGAACATCGGGCAGCAGTTTATTCTGGAGGGCTACAGAGAGGCGCGGCAAATGGCGGAGGGGGCTGTGGCCCCTTTGGCGCATTTCAACAAAGACAAAAACAGCCTGGAGAAGTTCGCGCTGGCGAAGGCGGGCGCAGCAGCAGCAGCAGCAGCAGCAAGCAGCCAGGAGGCCAAAGACAAGAAGGCTGCCTCTGCTGCTCAGGCCGTCAGCAAGAAGAAAAACGAACAGTGGAACTTGGGAAACTCTCCCAAGGAGGTCCTCGCCAAAATGCGGCAGAAAGTCATGCAGGAAGTCCTGGGATACTTCAAGCCCCAAGTCATTGGCCGCATGACCAAGATTGTCGTCAGTTTCCGCAAAACTTGCTTTTTGTTACTTTTTTTCGTCTTTTTGCCCTCTCTTTTCGCCCTTTTGCTTCTGGCTGCTTGGCTCGGCTTTGTCCTTTTTGGATGCGCTTTTTGTCCTTGTTTTGGCTTTATTCGCCTTATTTTGGAGCTGTTGTCTGTCTGATCTCAGTCTCGTTTTCCTCAGTTTCGGAAGTGTCGGTTCTAGTAGTTTCACTTGTTTCGTTTAATTTGTCCGAGTTTAATTTGTTTCGTTTGATTTGTTTGAATTTAACTAATTTCAGTTCAGTGTAATTTGTTCGAATTTAATTAATTTCAATTTAATTCAATTTGTTTCCGCAGAAAAGGCCGCGCGTTCCTGCTGCTGCTGGTGGGTGTGGTGGCTGCAGATTTTCGAGCCGTTGAGCGACAGCGCAATGCGCGGAGTTCTGGACTTGATGTTCACTCATTTGACGAAAGAATTGAAAAAAAGAGGAATTACTTTGGTGGTTTCGGACTCCGCAAAAGGATTTATTCTGGAGAGGGCCTGGTCGCACAAGTTCGGCGGCCGGCGGATGGCGAAGTGAGTACGAGTCTGAGGTGTACAGACACCTCGGCGCGAGCGACCCCGCAGCTTTCGACGCGGAAAATTCGCCAGCGACAGATAATTAAGGCATTTTAATTGTTTTTACTTGCTCTTAATTGCTTTTAACTAATTTTAATTAATTTCAGCGGCTTTTCCAGCTTTTTGTGCGCCGATTTGGCGGAGAAAGCGAATTTCGACGCGCTTCCACTCTCCGCGGTGTACGTACACCTGCAGGTACATCGAGAAGTACGTCACTGCGAAAGTCGCCCCACTTATTCTTTCTGCAAAACTCAAAAGAGGCCACAAGGCCGAACTCAAACGCGCCCCCAACCAGCCCAACCAGCTCAACCTCATCGTCAGTGCCGCTCCCCAACCCAAACCCTAAACCCTAAACCCTAAACCCTAAACAGCGCGCCTCAGGCGGCTCCCGCAGACATTCGGGGCTTCCGCTGCCTGCCCTCCACGCGCTGCTGCGCGAACCGCAGCAATGCACACTCCCCAAACTTCTGCAGCTTTTGCTGCTGCTGCTGCTGCTGCTGCTGCTGCTGCAGATCTGCGAAGAAGACGAAAACGGGGGCTGCGTGCCCGGCACCAAACACGGGCGGGTGCTGGTGGTGCAGGCGGCGAAGGCAGCTGTGGCGGACGGGGAGGAAGAAGACCCCATGATTTGAGCTGCAGCAGCTAAAATGCAAAGCTGCTGCTGCTGCTGCTGCTGCTGCTGCTGCGCAAGTTGCACATTTTTCCAAGGCGGTGCAACTGGTGCGCGAGTTGGGGTGTATCTACAGCAGCTGCATTCTTTACATTTGTTGTGCAAACCATTTCTAGCCAAGTCGGCAGGCTTTGTTTGCTGCTTATTAAAGTGCCATTTGCTGCTGCTGCTTATTTATAATGCCATTTGCTGCTGCTGCTTATTTATAATGCCATTTGCTGCTGCTAGCAGCGGCAAAGCTCTGCCACTGTTTGGGCTTACTGCCCTCTTGAGGCCTTGTCAGCGGCCTAAGCCGAAACAAGAAAAAGAAAAGCCCTGAGAGGCAGGGCTGCCTGCTGCTCTGGACACAGCAGCAGCAGCAGCCGCAGCGGCAGCAGCAGCCGCCGCGACAGCAGCAGCAGCAGCAGCGGCCAGAGGGAGGAGGCAAACAGAGGCGCCTGAGACAACTGAAGCAGCGAACCAAAAAGGGCGCAAAGACCAAAAGAAGGCCTTCGTCCTCTTTGCTGCAGTCAGGCCCGCGAGCAGCAGCAGCAGCTGCTGCTGCTGCGGCGCAGACCACCCGGGGGCCGGGGCCTCCGCCTGCATGCGTATGCATGCGCGTGCATGCGCGTGCATGCGCGTGCAAGCGCATGCATGCAGGGCGGAGGAAGCGAAACTTGTTCTTGAATGATTGCCCTCAAGAGGCAATTGCTGTTCTTCTTTTATTTCTTTCTTTGCTTTCAACGCGCGCAGACGCACTGCCGCCTGGGGGGCTTTGTCAAGCTGTGCAGATTCTTAAGGTGCACAAGTCGGGGAAAGCTGCAGTTAAAAAGTTCAATTTAGGAATTAAAAAGGTTTTCTAAACTGAAATACTTCAGTTTAATTTAGTCTTCGAGAAGTTAAGCCCTTAGACGCAGTTTAATGCACAAATTCGCCGGGATCAGCTGAGGATCCGCGAAGATCAGTTTTCGTTTTCCGCGACTCCACTTGTTTGAATGCAGCAGAGCAGAAACGACGCAATTTGCCGAAAATATTCAACAAAAACAAAGTATTCTGCATTTTGAAGAAGAAAGAACAAAAGAATTCTTATTATTTTGCAGATCTGAGAAAGTGGAGGCGCTGCAGTTGAACTGCGAGTCGCACTTCCTGAGGTGCCTGTACACCCCGTGGCTGTGCGCTGGAATTCACGTTTCTCGAGTTGAAACACTTTTTTTTTCATTCTGCAGATCCCGTAGCGTTTATTTCTTCTTTTTTGGCTTAACTACTTTTCCAGAATCTTGAAAATGGCCAGCAGCAGCTTCTCGACTTCCGTGTATTTCAGCAGCAGCTGTGCAGAAACCTGCAGCGAAACTCTCCACGGTAAGCCGCGCATCTGCTGCATATCACTGCAGCTTTCTGCAGCAGCAACACTTTCAGTTTATTCACAAGAAGAGAGCCTCGATTCCCGCGTTTCGGCTCGGCGGGCGCGGCCAGAAGTTGAATTTGCTGCTGCTGCTGCTGCTGCTGCTGAATCTGCTGCCATCAGCTGCGGAAGCGGCTCCCCCAGCAGCAGCCCCGTGGCTTCTTCAACTCACGCCACAGCAGACGGGACTCTCTTGACCTTTTATGAGCCCCCCAGCCCCAAAAGGCCGCGAAGAATGCATGCAGCGTCTGCTGCTGCTGCAGCGTTTCCTGCTGCAGCAGCGACTGCTGCTGCAGCAGAGCAGCGCCGCTGCAGAGAGCCCTCGCAGCTAAAGAGCCCATTTGGCACTTCTTCGGGCCTCTTTTCCGAAGCAGAAGATTCGTCTTCATGTAAGAGTCCCTGGTGAAAAAAAAGCCCGAGAAGCAGCGCGAACAATGCTGCTGAAATCGCAGCAGCAGCAGCAGCAGCAGCAGCAGTTTGTCTTTACTTCGACAGCAGCACGCGGCTCTGGGGCGTCGGCACGGTAAGTCCTTGCCAAATGCACAAGCAGCTAAAGCTGCATTCATGAACTGCACTGCTGCTGCTGCTGCTGCTTCTGCTGCTGCTGCTGCTGCTGCTGCGGGTTTCAGCACGACGCCGACGGCAGCATCCAGCTGGAGCTGGTGGAGGGTAAGCGAGTCTTTGAAATTACAATTTTCTGCTGCTGCTGCTGCTGCTGCTGCTTTTTGTTTGATGGCATTTTGCAAATGGCTGTGTCTGCAGAGTTCGCAATTTGCCGCCGCTGTCTGCTGCTGCTGCAGGAAACTTCTTTTTTATTTCTGCCAAACTCTGGAGTCCCAAAAGCGACTTTGGCGCGTATGTCCTTTTGTGTGGGGTTTTGAGGTGTATGTACACCCCAGCCCCCAGTGCTGCAGGCCCTCGCTGCCCAGCAGCAAATTGAACTCCGGCGGGGCCCTCTGCGGCTTTTTGCTGCAGATTCCGGCGCTGCTTTCTTGACTTCTGCTGCGCTGCAGCAGCTGCAGCGCAGCAGCAGCAGCAGCAGCTACTGCTGCGAAGGCTCCGGTGAGACACAACTTGCTCAAATGAACTCCAAATGAATTTCAATTCTTAATTTTCAATTTTTCTGTCTTTTCAGAAGAATGGAGAGTCGCGGCGTCCACAGTACGTTGAATTCCACTAGCTGCAGCAGCAGCAGCAGCAGCAGCAGCAGCAGCAGCAATGCCCGCAGCTAGCAGGTCTTCTCGCGGTTCGTGTCTGAAAGCCCAAAGCCCTGCTGCTGCTCTCTAAGCCCTTCTGCTGCAGGCGCAGCCGCAGCTGCTGCTGCTGCCCCACAAGGCCCGCGTCAGCCGTTTGCTGCTGCCGGGGGTTTACATCAGCAGCAAAGCTGTGGAGGGCCTCGAGCTCTTGAGCAGCAGCAGCAGCAGCGGCCGCAGCAGCCTTTTCCAAATGCTGCAGCCCTTCACCTCCACTGCAGCAGGCTCCAGGGTTCGCGCGCTTTCTTGCTGCTGCTGCTGCAGCTCTTAGCTCTCCTGCTGCTGCTGCTGCTGGTGTTCTTTGCTCTGCTGCTGCAGCTGCTGCTGCTGGTGTTCTTAGCTCTGCTGCTGCAGCTGCTGCGGGCGAACATCCGGAGGCCGCTGGACAGCGAGGAGGAGATTCAGCAACGGCTGGTGGGGCTGCTGCAGTTCTGCAGCAAACAAATAATTCAAGTTGAATTTTGGATTTTGTGGCTGCTGCAGTTCAGCAGCAAATGAAGAATTATAGATTGAATTTGAATTTTAGGATGCAGTGGAGCTCTTGATGACGCAGCAGCACTCGTGCGCGCGGCTAAAAGCTGCGCTGCAGGGCTCGGCGGTGAGCAGCAGTTCAGCTTTTCAGCTTTTCTTTTTTCTTTTTAATTCCCTTTTTCAGGACAGATTAATGGCGAACTTTTCGGCTTTAGTTTGCCCCATTTCCGAGGCAAGTCCGGGCCTTTTTGCTGCGGAAAAGGCCCCTTGTGGCGGCTCTTGAACTTGGTCGAAATTCAACTTTTCGGAACAGGCCGCGAAGGCCGAGCAGCAAATGGCCGACAGACTCAGCGCAGCCGCCAAACTCCACAAAGAACTCCTCACTTGTCTTTCAATTCGTTCAATTTTGTCGGAGTGAGAAAAAAAAGTGTTTCGAAAAAGCTGAAATGAGAAGATCGGGCTGCAGGCTGTGCCTGGACACCGACGCAGGAAGCGTTCCGGGTGAGGCGAAGCATTCAACTTGCGATCTTTTGTTCTTTTTCGAATTAAATTCGCGGTTTTATTTCCCACGAAGAAGCTTTCAAAGAAGCTTTCCAAATTCTGCAAAACGACGAAGTTGAAGCGCTGAAAAAAACGATTTCCAGGCACATAAAAGTGGACAAGCAGCAGTCAAGTGCGTCTTGACTGAGCTAATTCACTCCAGTTTTCTGAATATTGTCTCTTCATTCCGCTTTACTTTGTCGAATCTTTGCCCCGATTGCCCTGCACGAAGTTGAACTGGAATGTGCTGCTCATTTTTCCTGTTTCAGAGAAACGGAAAGCACCTGGAGCGCATCTCCTTCCATTCATTTTGTGAGTTGTTCAATTTCACAATTTCAGAAATTCCTTTTTTCGATTATTTTCGCCGAATTCGAAAAAAGAGTTTCCCCGGACTCCGACGTGGAGGCCAAAGTTGAATTCACAAGAAGAAACTTGCACGAAATAAACGCAAGCCGCACTCGTTCAGCCGTTTCTGTCTTGAGTTATTTTCCTAAATGTTTTCTTTTGCTTCTTTTTACTTCCTTTTTGGCTTTTCATTTTCGCAAGGGCTCTTTCTGCAAATATGCTGCTGTCCACTTCTTACTTTTTTGAACAAGTCCGCCGATCCTCAGGCCAAGTGCGAGCGCCTCGTCGCCGACGTCGAAAACCAGTCGTGAGAATTAAAACTAATTAATTAAAACTAATTAATTGAATTGAATTAAAAAATAAAAGACTGCGAGGAAAACTAAATGATCGAATTGAGCGAAAGAAACAAAATAACTCGCAGGCGGGGATTGCAGCTTCGCCGGGAGTGCAGGTCAGCTCAGCAGCAGCAACTGCGGACTTGGCCAAAATCGCGAGTTTTCGCACTTTCTTTGATTTAAATCAGTTTCATTCAATTCAAGTTCATTTAATTTGAATTCATTTCATTTAAACTCAAATTCACTTCATTTGAATCCATGCAAACAGCGCGGCGCACGGAAAGCACTTCAGCGTCGCCGCCGCGAAAGCCCAGAAGGCGAAGGAACTCATTCAAGACTTCACTGAACTCGCCACGCGCGGAGAGCGGGTAGGAGCAATTAAACAACAATTAATTCATTATTTACAATTTAATTATTTAATAAATTGTTAAATTCAAAAAGGATCTTCCAAATTCCACAAATTTGCGTTGAGGTTCCCGCAATTTCATCTTTTGCTTCTCCAGGTTTACTTCACCGATGTCCTTCTTTCAGGCACGCCGCAGTGACAGAACTGTTTCGAGAAGGAATTAAAAAGAATAAAGAAGAATAAATTGATTCAAATAAATAATAAAACAAACAAAAAAGAAATTAAATTAAAAAGAATGAAAATCCCAAGTTGAAAACTCATTCCAATTTGCTGCAGACGCAAACGAGACAGCCAAGAAATTCGAAAAGGATATTCTCGTGCTGCAGCTGCCGGCTCTTGAGCGTTTAATGGTGAGCCTGCAGCAGCAGCAAATAGAACAAAATAAACAAATGCAATTAAAATGAATTAAATTAATTGTAAAATAGTAAAACATCTTCGCAATTAAATTAAAATAATTGCAAAATAATAAAACGTCTTCGACGGCCCCGCCAATAATAAAAGCAGCAGCGCCGACTGGGCGTTTCTGAAAGCACCAAAAGCTCCCAAAAAAAATAGCAGCAAGAGCAGCAGCTGCAGCACACAACAGCAGCAGCAGCAGCAGCAAGAGCAGCAGCAGCAGCAGCCATTTAAGCGGGACTTTGTTGTCACAAGTTTTCGTTTTTCAGGTCGAGTTGACGCCTTTTTTCCCCTGGATTTTTATGGCCTGCGACGCAATCGTGAGAATGAATTTCATGCATTTGCATGCACGCATTCGCATGCATGCATTTGCATGCATGCAAGTTTCAAGTTTCTTTGCACATTTAAGTTCTTAATAAATGAATTAATAAATAATTAATTAATTAATTAATCAATTTATCTTGCAATAAATAAATGCCTTTTTCGTTTAAAGGAATTGAAATGTTGCGTAAGAATATAAACATAATGTGGGCAAATGATTTATGCTTGCGAGGGTAAAAGCAAAAGAAATTAAAATAAATAATAACAACAGAAAGTCGCAATAATAATAATAATGGCAATCATTAATAATAATAAGAATAAGAATACCAATAATAGTTGACGATAATAATAAATACTAATAAAAATAACAATAAATAACTCCAACACTAATAACAATGACAGCAACAGCAATGAGAATGATGATAATAATAACAATCAATAAAAATAATAACATTAATAGTAGTAATAAAATTAACAATAATAATAAATAATAATAATGACAACAATAATGATAATAATAACAATGACAATAATAATAATAAATAATAACAATAACATACTAATATAACAGTAGTAATAAAATTGAAAGCAATTATAATAGCAACAACAAGAATAACAATGACAACAATAATAACAATGACAGCAAGAACAAAAGCAACAAAAATAACAATAATAATAACGATAATAATAATAACAACAGTAATAACAACAATAACAATAACAACAATAACAACAATAATAACAATAATCAATTATAATAACAACAACAACGATGATAGTAATACTAAAAATAAAACAACAACAATAATAATAAAATAAAACAACAACAACAACAATAATAATAATAATAATAAAAACAACAACAACAACAACAACAACAACAACAACAATAATAATAATAATAATAATAATAATAATAATAATAATAAGAATAATGACAAATAATAATAATAGAAACAATAAAAGGAATAATAGAAAGAAGAATAAAAACAAAAAGAATAAAAAGAATAAAAAAAGTGATAAACGAAAATGCAAATAAAGAGCCCGGCGACTGCAGAGGCCTCGACAGCTGCAGCAGGCGAAAACTGACGGCCAAACATTTGACAGAAATTTAATAACTATTTATTCATTTAATAAATAAATAATAAACAATAAATAAATAATAAATAATAAATAATAAGCAAATAAACAGGTAAATAAACAAATGAACAAACAAACAAACGAGTAAATAAATAAACAAATAAATAAATAAATGAACAAATAAACAAACAAACGAATAAATAAACAAATAAACAAACAAATAAATAAACGAATAAATGAATAGACAAATAAACAAACAAATAAATAAATAATAAGTAAACAAATGCAATTATAATTAATATTTAGAATGCATTACAACAAATGCAATTTTATTCAAAACAAAAAAGCGCTGAGTCCAATTTGACTTCAGGCCCTGGTGGACGTGCTGCTGGCCCTGGCGCTTTGGGTGAGTCCTTTTATTTATTCAACTGAATTTAAAAATACAATTAATATAATTAGTTAAATTAATTCAATTTAATTAATTTATTTAATTTAATTAATTTAATTGTTCAAATTCAAAAGTTGGAAATCGAAACGGCTGCAGGCGGGGCACTTCCAGAGTGTATGTACACCGGTGTGTCGGCCGCGGTTCGAGCGCGAGAGGTGAGAGCGTCTTCGGAGTTGAATTTGGGAACTGAAGGAGAAATAATGGTTCAAAACGTTTAATTTCTTCATTTGATGAATTAAAAACCTTTTAAAACTTGAATTCGAACTTCAAACTTGTTCAAACTTGAACTTCCAACTTGGACTGTCCCAGCACTCGAGTCGCCGCCGCCGCGCACCCGCTGCTCGCCGCCGCAGGCAAGAATCCGGGACGAATTCGAGCGAATTGAATCAAATCAACCAACTAAATGAATTAAATTACATTTAAATCAATTAATTTAATTGATTTGGCCGTTAAAAGACCCCGAAACTGAAGATCTCCTCAGGATCCGCAGCCTTCAGAGGCCTCGACTTCCACTTCAACACCAACGCCAACAACTTGCTGCTGCTGCTGGGGCCCAACGGCGCCGGCAAATCCACTTATGTAAAGGCGCTGGGGCTGCTGCAGCTCTTGGCGCAGCTCGGATCCTTTGTCCCCGTGAGGCCCTGCAGCAGCAGCAGCAGCAGCAGCAGCAGCAGCAGCAGTTGCTGTTGTTGTTGTCATTGTTGTTGTTGCTGTTGTTGTTGTTGTGGTTTCGCACCCAGAGAATGCACTTAAGAAGGGTTAAGAGATCAGTGGGATGCATGCATGTTCATTTAGACATTTCACTTCATTTAAAAGACTTTCATTGAACTAAATTAAAGCAAGTATTTCCATTTAAAAGTTTAATTCGTTTAAGAAGGTCTTCGAAGTAATTAAATAATGCACATGTGTTTTGAAGCGCCCAACTTAAATCAAAATGACTCTGAAAACATTTAATTAAAAGCAAAAGATTTAAATCAAATAATCATTTCGTAAAGACTAAAAATGAAAAATGAAACAAGACCCTCAAAACATTTAAATGAAAACAAATATGTTCTCAAGACATTAAAGAAAGTAAAAAGATCCTCAAAAGAATTTAATTTGAATTAAAAAGGCTTTAAAAGAATTTAATTTTTTACTAAAAAGATTCCCAAAAATAATTAAAAATGAATCCTCGGAGTCATTTAAAATAAAATCAAAAAGATAAGAATACCTAAGGGCCACTTGAAAGAAAAAGAATAAAAGAAATCAAAATAAATAAATTTTATTTAAATGAATTAAACAATAAACTTCTTTTAAACGAATTAAAATAAATAGATCTTCTATAATGCATCAAAATAAATAAACTGTCTTGAAATAAAATAAAACGAACTAAAGTATATTAAAATGAATTAAAATAAATAAACTTTAATAAAGATAAATAAACTTCCAAACGAATTAAAGTAAATGACTTCCTTCAAATAAATGAAACAAACGTTTTAAATAACAAATAGAACAAATTATTCATAAAATAAAATGCAAATAAACTTTTTAAATTAAATAATCAAACAAACATTTTTAAGTAAACAAAACAAACAATTATTTTAAAATAAAAAAGACTTCTAAAATAATAAAACAAACAAACTTGCGAAAATAAAAACAAGCATTTAAAAATAAAAGACAAACAAACATTTAGGAGTAAAAACGAATAAAATAGAAGCAAACATTTAAATAAAATAAAATGGAACTTTTAACTGCATTTATTTTTGTCTCAGGCCAAATCTGCGTTGCTGCAAATTGTGCACAAGATAAACTTCTGCTGCTGCTGCTGCTGCGGCTGTGGGGCGCAGCAAGAAGAGATGAAGGAGCTTTTGGAAACATTTCAAAATTTAAAATTCAAAAAAGAAAACCAAGTCGTTCTAGTCAGCTACCGCTTCCGCCCGCTGCTCCTGCTGCTCCTGCTGCTGCAGTTTGCTGCTGCTGCTGCTGCTGCTGCTGCTGCAGTTTGCTGCAGCAAGGCCACAATCTGCTGCGCCCTTCAGGTTCTGGTCGACGAGGTCTTCCGCTCTTTGCCGGTGGCCGACGGCTTTCCCATGTCCTGGGCGTAGGTGCTGCTGCTGCTGCTGCCGCTGCTGCTGCTGCTGCTGCTGCTGCTGCTGCTGCTGCTTGCTAGGGTTTGACTCACTGTTTGCTGCTGCTGCGGCGCCTGCAGAGTGCTGGAGGAGCTTTCGAGGGAGCCAAAAGCACTTGTGCTTTTTGCGACGCATTTTACGGAGCTGCAAAACATGGAAAGATATAATCCTTTCATCGAGACCCGCTTCTTCTGCTGCTACAGTGGGTCTTGCTGCTGCTGCTGCTGCTGCTGCTGCTGCGGGTCTTGTTGTTGCTGCTGCAGCGGGTCTAGTTGCTGCTGCTGCAGCGGGTCTTGTTGCTGCTGCTGCAGTGGGTCTTGTTGCTGCTGCTGCAGTGGGTCTTGCTGCTGCTGCAGTGGGTTTCGCCGCGGTTGTGGCGCATCTCTCGAGTGTACGTACACCTCAATCCCCCGCAGACGAAGACGGCCAGAAGCCGCAGTTTCGAAATGGAAGAAGACTCGAAGGTGAGGAAGAGCAGCAGCAGCAGCAGCAGCAAGAGGAGAGCTTCTGATGTTTGAGGTGTATGTACACCCCGCTGCAGAGGCCGACGCCGCGCTCGCCGCCTACGGAGTTTTGGGGGCTCAGAAGATTCTGCAGAAGTCCATGGCTGCAGCAGCAGACCCCGCTGCTGCAGCAGCAGCAGATCCCGCTGCTGCAGCAGCAGCTTCCGCTGCTGCAGCAGCAAGTTCCATCATTGCAGCAGCAAATGACTTCGCGTTGGAGGCCGAGGGAGCTTTGCTGCCCAGCTCGGGGTCTGTCGAGACAGTCGAAATAACCAGATGTGAGAGCTGCTGCATTCATTTATATCATTTATTTCATTTCATTTTATCTATTTTATTTATTTTATTTTTTTAATTTATTTATTTATTTTATATATTTTATTTATAACATCCAACTTTTGTTCACCCACGCAACCCCAGGGGCCTACCGGACCATCAACTTGCTTCGCCGCGCTGTGCACAAGTTCAGCAGCAGCAGCAGCAGCAGCAGCAGCAGCAGCAGCAGCAGCAGCAGCAGCAGGGGTCGTGTGGAGTTTCTGCGGCTCCTGAGGGAGGCCCAGAGGTCTATAGAGGAAGTCTGCGCTGAAGACCAGCTTTAGTGCTGCTGCTTCGAAACTGGAGAAAAGCAGCAACAACAACCAGCAGCAGCAGCAGCAGCAGGAGGGGATCAGCAAATGAAGTTTCACAAAGAAAAAGAAAAGAAAGGCCACTGTCCGGGCGCTGTTGTTGTTGCTGCTGCTGCTGCTGCTGCTTTATTTGCTGCTAAAAGTGACAAAAGTGGAAATGCGCTTGTGCGTCTTCCGCCGCCAGCAGCTGTCTGTACACCTCGCGGGCCCCAAGCAGCAGCAGCACGCAAGGCTGCAGCAGCAGCAGCAGCAGCTGCTGCTGCAGCAGAAGCTGCTGCAGCAGCAGCAGGCCCAACCAGGTCTCCCTCTCAACCCCCCCAAAACCCCCTCCTCCCGCTGCTGCAGCTCCCGCTGCTGCAGCTCCCGCTGCTGCAGCTCCCGCTGCTGCAGCTCGCGCTGCAGCTCGCGCTGCAGCTCGCGCTGCAGCTGCGCTGCTGCTGGCGCTCCCGCTGCAGCAGCAGCAGCAGCAGCAGCAGCAGCTAGAGGGCGTCTGCGTCTTCGGCGACGGAGGCCCTGAGGATCTTGACGGGGTGGAGGGGCCTGAGGGTTTTGGTGGTTTGGACCAGCGAAAGCTTTTTGAGGGTTTGGAGGCCGCAGCAAACCCTCGCGAAGATGGAGTGTTTGCCGTCCAGCGAAGGCGCCGGCGCCAGCAGCAGCAAAAACAAAGAGCTGTTCTTGCCCCCGCTGCTCGCCATCGACACCACCCCCGCCCCCGTGTGCCGCAGCTCTGCAGCAGCAGCAGCAGCAGCAGCAGCAGCAGCAGCAGCAGCAGCAGCAGCAGCAGCAGCAGCAGCAGCAGCAGCAGCAGCGGCGGCGGCGGTGGTTGTGGTTGTGGTTGTGGTGCGGGAGCAGACAAGGCTTTCTCCAGGGCAACTGACACCAACCAAGTGCACACCTAGCTAGCTAAACAACTAGCTAGCTAGCTGAACACCTAGCTAGCTAGCTAGCTAGCTAGCTAGCTGGCTAGCTAGCTAAACACCTAGCTAGATAGCTATCCCCCTAGCTAGCTAGCTACCCCCACCCACCTATCCACGCGCCCAGCTACCTCCCCAGCTAGCCAAAAACGCCCCCAGCTAGCCAAACACCTCCCCAGCTAGCCAAACACCTCCCCAGCTAGCTAAACACCTCCCCAGCTAGCCAAAAACGCCCCCAGCTAGCCAAACACCTCCCCAGCTAGCCAAACACCTCCCCAGCTAGCTAAACACCTCCCCAGCTAGCCAAACACCTCCCCAGCTAGCCAAACACCTCCCCAGCTAGCCAAACACCTCCCCAGCTAGCCAAACACCTCCCCAGCTAGCCAAACACCTCCCCAGCTAGCCAAACA